CCTCACTCACACGAGGAAACACAACGCAAGCGTTGTTTCACGTCGATCTTCTGTGAGGCCGTGGTATCACTCCGGTCGAGCCGGCCCATTCGTGCCGAAGCATGGATCTCCTACACTTGCCTCACTTTTTCTTAAAACTGAAAGTAAAAACGAAGGCATTGGTTTGTTCTTAACGGAGGTGATGAATATGATGAGGTGATGGTAATCTGGGTCTTCAGGGAGGTACGGAAATGATAATCTGGTTCTGACGGAGGTAATCTATGATGGTTGTACTATGGTAATGTATGTTGCCTCATGCCAACTAACTAGGTAGGTAGGTGTATCTAATCGCAAAAATCATACCATAAAATTGTACCACTGTGACGTGGTGGTAAATAAATAAACACATTGTTGCATCTAACATTAAAAAGCTAGTTGGATTGGTATCTAAAATAAGAGTAAAAATTATAAATGAAATCCCTACAATATTTTTTTTATTCAACCTTATCCATGCCAGTTCCTATTTCAAAAATTTCCCTCCAAAACGGCCATATTGAAAAAAAAACCTTCAATAAACACTAAAACGCGATGGCATTAGAGTTTTCGACGAAAATGGTCACATTTTAAAACTAATGCCCGAACTACATGCGATGATAATACAAAACCACGTTAATATTTATAATTAAAAACGTTATTTAACCATTTTGAGTGGTTCTTTTTTCAAATTCTATTACTTTTAATTATTGTTTGCTCATGTTACATTATGGGTTTCAATTGTTCTTGATCTTGGAAAAAAGAAAAAAGGCAAATATCTGCGATTTTCTTTCTTTGAGTTCTTTGAGTACCTAAGGACTGATTCACTTGGTTCCTTTTTATTTAAAAGGAAACTGTTTTAGGTATTGTGCAAAGGAAAGTTTTTAAAACTCTATCAACTTGCATGCTTCAGCTGCATCTCCAGCTGATTAATGAAGGCACCTATTTAATAAAACTTTTTTTTATGGATAGGCAATCGGCGTCGCCCGAAACACCAGTGGTATTACTAGTGCGTTACCAGCCTTTTGGGGATTAGGAATTTGAGGATTATTGGGGATTGAGGACATCGGGGAGGAATAATAATCGGGTCTCCGGTAACCTCACTCACACGACGAAACAGAACGCTGTGGTCGTTTCACGTCGGTTTTCTGTGAGGCCGTAG